TCAATCCAGCACTGGCAATGTGTAAGATCATGTCAATCCTTCAACCTCATCCCCATAACCTAGACAGGGCCAAGGACACCATAACCTACATGTCAACTACAAACTTTTGTAGTCTCAAAAAGCGGACACTACAAACTTTGCTGTGGACTTTGTCAAATTGTTCCTTTCTTTCATCAGTGTAGCGACCCATAGGTACAAAGTCAGGAGGTGTCCCATTCAACTTTGGGAGAGTGTCAAGAGGATTCCCTTTAATATCATGAATTATTCTGAATTTATCTGGGAGGTCTTGGTATACTGGCCTGATTTTCTGTGCAACCGGCTTGTATTTCTTTGTGACAAAAGTCTCTCTAGTTTCTACAGGATCCTCTTTCTTTTCCTTAGGTGCTGCTTTATCCTCATGATCATAAATGACATTCATCATGGTTTCAACATTTTGGATCCCCCCTGACTTTAAGTTTACATCAGAGAAATATTTCCCTAAGTAACTCACAAGTGCAGGACGGTCTTTTTCTTCTATGTGTTTTTCATTTCTCAAGGTTTGGAGCAAGTAAAGATTTCTCAATTCTTCTTGCTCAAATTTTCCATTTCCTGGTAATGTATATGACTCGCATTCAAAACCACCATTACCATCATCTATCAAGGTTACAGCGATCTCTCCTTGATCTTTGATCAATTCATCGAAGACCGAAAATCCTCAGACGGCTTAGGAATTTCTGCTTTCATTACAACAGGTGGTCTTCCTCTTTCATGTGTAGGTAATACACATTGTTGTGTTGAATTAGGATCCGCTATGATAAGAGTTTGTCCCCCATCTTTATAATTCTGTACAGTACTCTCTGTCAATACATCAAATGGTCTGCCCAATAGCACTTTATATGCTGGGTCAGTGATGATGTGGACTTGTAGGTATACTGTTATAGTTCCAAAGATAAAAGGTACAACAGTGTATCAATTCGAGTAGCCATTTTATCTAACATATCATCTCTTGAATCTCTAATCTGGTTGGTGTATACTGATTTAACTTGAGCATCTATTCCCAACTGGATGATACCTGGCTCTCCGCTGTTCTGGGTGTAAATTTTTCCAGGCGATGCAAACATATTGCTTTGTGCCATCATATCTTTATTGCTAGCTTCCTCAACAATCATTTTAGCAGACTTCCCATTTGTCCCTCTAGGTACTGGTTGTCCTGTGAGCGCGAAAAACATCTTAATACCGGACATTTTAATTTTTCCCGTTCTAATATGTTCTTCCCTATGAGGATAATTCATCGCGAAATGCCCTGTTTCTTCACAGTACCAGCATCCGTCTGAACCCATTCTCCAAGTAGGCTGTGTCTGCCTCATGGTGGGTGCTGAGGTAACATGCTGGGTCATTAACGTCTCAGTTAATTTGTTCATTTCTTGTCTAGATGCTTGGAAGGCACTCATTTGTGCTTTTTCACTCGATGTAATTTTATCCATGAGTAACGCAACTTTCTGGTTTAATTCTCGGATATCATCTTCTAGCTTAACACTATGTACTGGCGTAGTATGTGTGTGATGCTCTCGTGTCGTCCATGTTTCTGTTGCATTGACACCAACCCAGGTATCACTTGAAGAGCTAATCCCTTGTGCACGTCCTGCAATAGTCTCAGCCATTTCAATTACATCTAGGATAGCATATGGATCCTCTGGACAGCGTTCTTTTCCTTCAGCAGTTTTTCCTTTATCATCTTTGGAAAATTTAATATTGAGACTTCCTTCCACTTGTCCTCAGAAACTATCCCTTAGACATCCTAAAAACAGTTCTACCAATTCTCTGTTGCTCACCAAGGCAGGTGGCACCAAGAGTAATTTTTGTTCTGCTCGGAAACCTCTAGTGAGGCTTTTAAGTGCAACAATGTCATCAATATCAATGCGCTGATGGTCATTACAAAATTTTCTCAAATTTGCTAGTGTTCCTTTTCCAGCATTCTTTGCCTCTGGATAGTCATCGATCAACGCCTGTTTAAACTCCTTGTATTCAACTTCAGGAGCAAAAGTGTCGAATGCTCGCCATTCGAATTCCGTCATTTGGTCTGTATACCTTCCTAACTGTTTCTTCTTTTCTTGATCATCATTGATACCATGCTCTGTGAACAAGTCCTCCATTTGGTCAATGAATCTTAACAGCTCAATGGGTTTTTCCTTGTCGAAGTTAGGGGCTCCTCGGGAGCCTGGCAATGGCATCAGTCTAGACGATCTTCTGCCTCCAGTGGCAGGAGCTTCATCTTGGTTATTATCTGGCATGTTTGTAATATTTCTTTGGGCTAACAAGTTCGGGTTTATATTATCAGATGCCCTAACAGTTTTTCTACAAGTCATGCGAGGAGGCGGTTGGGATACTGTCTCTGTTCTTAACGGAAACCTTTGTGCTACTGCTGTTGCAGGTTGCTTAGCTTTTCGTTTAGATGGAGGTGGTAAACCTGACGATTCCCCTGCTTTAATAGAATTCGCTGTTTGTCTGATTTTTGGTGCCGTGGTGAACGGCTCTGCACTAGTATTTAAATTGCTTCAAACGCTAGCAGTTTTTTAATTTAAACTTTTTGTTTAAATAAATGATCCTGTAGATCACTAAACTTTCAAGTCTTTGCTTTATCAAAAACAAAAGGAGACCCTCACGGTGGGCTCCAGATGATACGCATTGCACAGGGATGACTGTGAAAGTGCGAAACACGCAAACAAGGATCAAGCGCGTCAGGAAAACCCTAAACACCTAAACACTCACTCACACACACACACACACACACTATCACAATGTCAGTGCACGAGTTCGAGGGCCTTTGGTATTAAGAAATACCACTTTTGTCTTCTTAGGTTTAAGTCTCAAGAGATTTCGTCTCAAAACGGGTTTTTATTATAAGGTGTGGTTTAGAATAGTTAAATAGAACAAAGTATGTCTTTCTGGGAACTTGGTCTCTTAAATGCAAAGTTCTTTGATCACAGTTTCTTTTATTAACACAAAACACGACTTCAATTGACTTTTATGACTCCTGTGAGTTTTTATTATGTCACTACGCTCCAAAACTAAGGGTATGAGTACGCTGTCTTGTCTAAATGATACTGTGTTTTTAAAACCTCTTATTCAAAAGTCTCCAAGTAAGTTGACTCCCAAGCACACTGGCTTCGTTCACACTGTACTTTTCTGACCACGAAGAAATCTCCTTTAATTGATTACAACTGTCCACCTCCTAAGTTCCTACTTGGAGTGCAACTAGCTGGTCAACGGGGGGCAATTGCTTGCCTTTTGACCTGCCAGCACACTCCTTATATACTCCAGGAACCCCTATCTACGTTTTACATGTGTTTTAATGCGGGATACTTTGGTCCGAATTACAAATATGAATTTTAATGAACGTGTGGTATATTTTGTAGTCTATCTCTGTGAACACTACAGATTTTGTAGTGTCGCATCTTTCATTTTCAAACGCATCAGTGTTTGCGCATGTTTCTTTCTATGGCCCTGTTTACCGGTTTGACAGATGACATCACAAAATGATTAACGTTTCCTTTGATGCGCATGCATATGCATTTACCAATAGTCTTTGGCCTTCCGTCGTTTCCGAGTTTTTAATTAAAATGCCTTGTCTTGGCTCGTCTTTTCATTATGGAGGTCGGGAGACACTCCGAAGGTGTTTTCAAATGTCTTTCTTAATTGTCAGGGGGTTCTTATTATATTTCATATAATAGAATGTGTCTTTTTCTCATGTTTGTACTTGTGACATTCAGACGCATCAGTCTTTGATGCGTACGCGGGAACTGCCGTACATGACTTTCTGAATGGCCGTGAGCCACGCTAAGTCTTCGTACATTTACTACCTAGGTGTAGTTTAGTCTTTCAATGTTTCAGACATGCCGTTTAAGCGTCTATGTCGTCTTTTCTGTATTTCTTGTATAAGCACGAGTTTTCACAATAAATCCATTATGTGTTTCTAAACCCTTTGGTAGTAATGCAATTCTTCTCCCTGCATTGGGTGTTTACTCTAGAACCTCTTCGTGCTCTATTTCATGGTAGGTGAATCTTAGATAGGATCCAAGTATAATGTCACAACGCATACTGCTGCCAGTTCCAAAGCCTTGTCCTATTTTCAGATTCCACGCATTTGCATTTTTAGTCAACTGCGCCGGGTATGTGCATTGACTCTTTGTATCATTGCAATTGTATGTAGTGTATTTATTAGAAATGACCTTTATCGGTAAAATCATTAAAATTGAATTTTATATGGGTGAAATGGTTTCATCTGTATCAATGTGCTAAGTAAAAACCATTCAGCTTCACCTTTTGGAAGACAAATGTGCCATACTTACCATCACTTTTCTCTTTTTCAAAGGCCTCTTGGCTTTCAGGACATTTCAGGAGATGAGTATATGAATGGCAAGTAACTATACAAAAGTACAAACAGTATTTGACATAGGTATATCACTATCTGACATAGTAATTCAAACGACATGAAGCAGAAAGCGGTTCAATGATGTTGAGCAACATTTTGTTATCACGACTTTAGGGCAGCCTGCTGCTAGTCATGTGATCATATATATTTACATTGTGATTGCAAACTTTGGAATCGAGACTTTGCTAAGAAGCTCAGCTACTTTATGTGTAGGGGTATATATAAGGAGGGCTTGCACCACGACACAGATGAAAATCATAAGTAGCATCTGCCGAAAAGAAATACTGCCTTGGTGGACAATGCATGGAGATGGAACCAGTATGTATCAACCCCATCGACAAGATTCAAAATGATTAAGGTGCAACCATCACCACCGATGGCCACATGACCTCTAAATGTATCAAGTCAGTAAAAAGTCCAACAAGCGAGTAGCATCATACATTCTCATAGTGAGCTGTTGGCTCCATTCCTTAGACCAAGGTTTGATCTTCTGACTGACACTATTTGGACTGTTAACAGATTACGCTCATGGAGAAAGAGAGGCTTACACTTGATGAGACTCCAGGTAACAAACAAGAACACTTGAACCTCAGTCAAGAAAATCTACACTGCGAACAACAAATGGTTTGGGGGTAAGGGCATGCAGCAGTTTCAGGTGGCCTAGAGGGGGTTGTGATTGAGGTAAGCAGTTTCAAGTGTTTCGAAATGCTGACCATCTGAATCTATCTGCCACACCTTTGCTGTACCAGTCCCCACTGATGCAAGGCGATGATGGTTCATATCAAACGCGAGGGCCTCAATGTGGTTATTGTGGGCAGGTATCGAGCAACTGAGGCGGTAAGACCCCTGAATGAGAAGATCAAAGTAAAATCAGGTTAGATAGTAGACAGAACTTACGGTTTCATCAGTTCGTTGGTAGACAAAGACTCGGCCATCGGCACAGCCAAAGGCGAATGAAGTCATTGGTCCTTCTGGGGAAATGGGAGTCCAGATAGCCACACAGACGGGTCCATTAAAAACAACCAATATTGCTTGGTGGAGAGACCCTTTCGTCACATTCCAGATTAAAAGTTGTCCATCATCCCCTGAAAGAATAAGGGAGTGATGGGCTTTATCAGAAGGCGGAATCTTACCACCACTTAATAACATTCGAGCATCCCCACTAAGTTTGAGTGTGTTCAATGGCTTGGTATGCTTGCGGAGGGTGTACTTGCATTCGAACTTCTGGAGGGAACGTGAGTGTGTGACCCAAGTAAGAAGTCGGTACTCAAAGAAGACTGCCATAGAAGTAAACCATGCAGAGGTGTTATTTCGATGATCACTTTTCAATGATCACATCTAGATTTTATGTGAGCCAGAAACAATAATGATGAAAAATCACCGTGCTGTGCACAAGGGATGACAAGCATTTTTTCTGGTGTCTACATTCAAGTCTTTCTACATCTGAGTTGCCTTATTGCAATTGTCTACCAGCTAAATACCCAAGCTAGCAACAAAGGGGATCGGATTATTGTGCTATTGCTTGATACAGTACTAACTAATTTGAGGAGACGAGAGATGAGAGGGGGTGAACAAGTTACAGTCGCAAAAGAAACAGATGAGGGGAGTGGAAAGGAGGCGGAAGATGAGTGGGGGACATATTTGGCTAGGTGTTTTAGAGCAGGGTGCGTCTGTCAACTTAGGGCAGGCTGCTCCAATTTTCGCACTATATATTCTGATGATTAAGTGAATGAAGGCCTTTCCCTCCTCCACTCAGCCTTCCTCCGCCCTCCACTCAGCCTTCCTCCACCTTTTTCTTGAATGACTTACTTTGAATACCTCATCACCCTGTAGAAAATGTAGATAGCTTTTGTAACTACTATATCTCCATTGAAAATTAGAGACAAAAAACACAAATGGTGTAAGAACACACCTGAGATAGAGAAAAATGGAGAGTTCTCCATTTCTCCTGTCGACCTAGTCATTGGAGTGAGTAATAATTAAGTCAATTTGAATTGAATGTCAAGTTGCTAATTGTGAGCTTTCTACAAGTCCCTGGCGCGCCCCTTTACCAAAGTTGTCATGGCATCTTGCACATTCAGTGATTGTCTTCCGGGCTGTCGCTCTCGCAAGACATGTCGTTTCCCCTGCTAGGGTCTCCTCCTCTTTCCCATACGTGCTTGCCCCTCACTTCACATTGTATGTATGTATGTCTTTTTTGTTCAAAACATCTTGGACTTACTCATTTGCTCCATTGCAGCCAACTTATTGTGTTGCGCCTTGGTGATGGACTACACCTTAAATATCGGAATTCCGCTGTCTTCAATCCAACTTCTTCAATGTAAATCAATCCTCGATCCTCGTCCTCCTCAACGTATATCAATCTGATCAGCTTCCGACAGCTATGATCTTCAACACCTTCTTCCAATTGACGCTGCAGGCAGTGTTTGCTGACGAAATGAGTCTCATACACCTGTAACTGATCCCTTTGCTCATTCCGTCTAGTTACCCATTTGAATCGCTTCGAAAGATCTTTTGTCAACTTTGTTGATCTGACAACATAAGAGAGCTTTTGAGCCAGATGTAAGCTCATCACTTGGTGTTTAAGAGTGTTTTTAACGCTGCTTTCAAGACCCCAGTAGCCCACACAGACCATGGCGTTCAACCTGCTGCCAAACATCCGAAACATGTCAGTCATTACCGTTTACCCAAGCTGTATTTACTGATACTTTGCAGGTCATTGTTAACATGGCGTCTGCATTAGTAGGTACCATTTACATCATGAAAATGTGACAGTTGCCATGAGGCACCTTGATCAGCTACCGTTTCATTTCATTCACCGCACTTATTTCATTTCTTCCAGAAAAGGCGTGTTTAATTCATTTGTGATGATTCTTTCATTTTTTGTTTCATTCTTTTCCAAAGAAAATGAAACACCTTTTGCCTCATTCTGTTTCATTCTCACTTCTGTTTCATTCCTGCCAGAAAGAATAAGTTTGATTCTGCTTCATTCATTCCTGACAATTATTTCATTCTTTGTTTCATTCTTGCCAGAGGATTGAATATTTCATTCATTTTCAATTATTATTTCATTCTTTCTGGACAGTTATTTCAATGATGTAGTACATGTACAAATAAGGAAATAATATACAAATGATGCCTGATATGGGTTGTGCCCTTCTGCAGTGGATTGAGGGGCCATATGGGGGTATTTTTGGATTTGAGGCAGATATATGCAAAGAGCTAGCAGTGGTGTTGCCAAATAGGGCACTTACATTTTGTTCCCATCAATTACATAATCACCTCCCATCTCACAATGGAATGAAACACATGCACCAAAATGAATGAAACAAAAATGAGGCAGCTCAATGACATGAATGAAGCCAAAATGAAAGAAATTCCAGTTCGTCACAAGCAGTTCTATTTCGTCGCCATGGACAGGAATGAAACAGGAATGAAAAACTGTTTCATTCCAACGTGGTAGCTGATCAAGATGGCCCGTGGCAACTGCCACGTTTACATGATGTAAATGGTAGCTACCAGTCGACATAATGGGAGGAATGGGGGGAGAGGGGCTGTCGTAACCTTCCATGAAGAACGTAGGGGTGGTGGTGGGTGGGACTGCATAGAGTCTGTTCCAATCGACTGAGGGCCCCCCCATGACTCACAACATGTCGGTGTATACCCAGATCCTTGTGGGATGGAGCCACTGGGATTCCTCACACCACAGCTGCTTGCCTGACAAAATCTTCACCAACGTTACCTTGGTGAAACTGAGTGTCATTCAACAAAATATAAGGTAGTTACTTACAGCTTTCTCCCAGGCATGTGCTTCTAAGGTCGGTCGGTTCACGTCATTGGAATTCATAAGAGTCGCTTGATTTCGATTGATGAACCTCAAAAGTGATTCTTTTTGAAACCAAACATCGTCCAAACACCCGGGGTCGAGATTGTGGGCTTTAGCTTCTATGGTAATGGTGGAGGACATTGGAGTTGGAATGGCACGAAGGGTTAGAATGAGACGATGATGAAAGTTGATGTCGAAAAGTTGTCAACAGAGTCACGTGGTGGCGTCAGAAGAGTAGAGATCCTCAGAATGTTCCACGGCTGATCATCGGTGGCTTTCATTCCCATGGTTGAATTTTCAAGGGCCATTGCAAGGCCAAACAAAACAATGGGCCTTTCTCTTGAACAACGTTCATTAGCAACTGCAATCCCTGGAAAAGCCATCTACTCCATGGCTGATATGTCTTTGACAAACCCAGGTAGGAGAATGTCTAATCTTCCAGGCAACCATTGTCACTAATTCTTTTGACACAGAAGTTGTAATGAAAGACTTGGAGCATAGGGAGGTGCAGGAAGGTAAATAATTCAGTTTGGGCTTTTACTACCAACACTGTTACAACCTTACCTTAGAAATGGCCCAACATCAAAACGTTCTCCCAAGTAAGCAAGTCTTATAACCTGACCAACCTTCAATCATTATCGGGCGAACAGACCTACCAAGCGACAATGGAATGCAGTCCACTGAACAAGCAATGGAAGTCGACGTGGATAGCATTATGCAACGTAAGTCGATGGGCCAAGCTTTACAGATTGATATTAATGTGGTCTTCATTAGAACGTGAAGAGAGTCAATTGATGTCCATTGATTTGACTGTTTCTCGCCCGGCCCCGACATTCGACAAATCTATTTTCAATTTTCAAACGTCTGCCATTTCTGCAAAGGCCAGAGACATTAATTTCGATCGT